CCCAGGACTGGCGCACGCGCACACTTGGGTGCACGTGTGCACACAAACACACACACACACACACATACACACGAGAGAGAGAGAGAGACAGACAGACAGACAGACAAGGGGAGGGCAGATCATAGTATTTACAAGTGAATAAAAAATAGTTTTGCTACTCTGGAATAGTTTTTTTTTGTTTTAGTTTCCTTGGATTAGATGGGGAGCCAGGCCATGATGGCTGTTTCCTAATAGATTCAGCTTCAGGCCTGTGTTTTTGCTTTCCAGTACAGGGACTGTCCTTTAGCATTTTTTCACTCAAGGTTCATGTTCCATCACTTGAGCCACAGCTCTGCTTCTAGCTTTTTGGTAGTTAATTGGAGATAAATGTCTCACAGACTTTCTGCTGGCTTTGAACCTTCTTAATCTTCAGATCTCAGCCTCCTGTGTAGCTAGGACTATACCTGCTCCAGGTCTGTGCTCTGGAGGTGAGAACTGTATGTGTTCCTTTAAAAACAAAATATTTGTGTTTACATGGTGCTGGAGAATCGAACCCAGGGCCTCATGCATGCTAGGCAAGCCCTCTACCATGAGGCCATACTCCCAGCCCTGTGTGTTTCTTTCTTTCTTTTTTTTTTTTTTTTGGTTGGTCGTGGGGCTTGAACTCTGGGCCTGGGCGCTGTCCCTCAGCTCTTCAGCTCAAGGAGAGCGCTCTACCACTTGAGCTACAGCGCCACTTCCGGCTTTTTTCTTTTTGCTTATGTGGTGCTGAGGAATCAAACCCAGGGCCTCAGGCATGCTCTACCACTGAGCCATCTTCCCAGCCCCTCCATGAACATAGTTTTGATTTCTTGTATTTACTCTGATAATCATGAATGAGCTAACTTTTCCAGAAAGAAGCTGTTGACAGAAGGCTTTCCCAGAGATATTTAGGAGGAGTTCAGACAGATACACAAGAGTGGCACAGAAGGGATTTAGAATACCCATCAGCCCACAGCTGCTCATCAGCTCTGAGAGATCCTGCTAAGGTACTTTATCTCCTGTGATTTATATTGGATGTACATTTATTTTTAGTCTCACCAAATAAACGACTGTTCTGAGGGCTGAACATTTAAGACAGTGACTGACCCCAAACCAGGGAGGGTGAACACTTTACACCCCACATATCCCAGGTTATGTTTGTAACAATGAGAGTTTAGGATTGCTCTCCCACTGTTTCTCTACCCGCCCCCCCCTCCCAAAACCTACCTCAGTATTTATGATTAAGAACCTGAGAGTGCTAGGCACCAACCAGTGGCTCATGTCTTCAATGCTAGTTTCTCAGGAGGCTGAGAGCTGAGAATCTTAGTTCGGAGCTAGCTCCAGGCAGACAAATTGGAAAGACTCTTACTTCCAATTAATCAGCAGAAAGCTAGAACTGGAGATGTCACTTGTGGTAGAGTGCCGGCTGTGAGTGAAAGGAAAAAAGCCCTGAGTTCAATCCCCAGTACACGAAAGGAAGGAGGGAGGGAGGGAGGAAGAAAGAGAGGAAGGGAAGAAGAAAGGGAAGGAGGGAGGGAATGAAAAAAATGGTGTGTGGCTTTGATAGTCCCTTACAGAAGGTGAACTGGGGGACAATTTGCCATACTTTGCTTATTCAGTTTTGGCTCTGTATAGCTGCTCTCTTTGCCCATCCTGTCCTTTTCTTCCTCAGTGTGTGTGTGTGTGTGTGTGTGTGTGTGTGTGTGTCTGCGTGTCTGCGTGTCTGCGTGTCTGCATGTCTGTGTCTGCCTGCCTGTCTGTCTGCCTGCCTGTCTTGTCTGTCTGTCCTTCCATTCATCTTGTGCCTGGGAAATTTTCCCCTAATGCATATTTGTGCCAATACAGGGGATTGAACTCAGGGCCTGGGCACTGACCCTTAGCTTTTTCACTCAAGGCTGGTGTTTTCCCACTTACTTGAGCCATAACTCCACTTCCTACCCGTTGCTGGTTAATTGGAGCTAAGAGTCTCCCAGACTTTCCTGCCCAAGCTGCCTTCAGTGATCCTCAGATCTTAGCCTCTTGAATAGCTAGGATTATAGGTCTGAGCCACCAGCACCAGGCTTTTTATTCTTACATCTTCTTTTTTTGAGGGGGAGGGGTCTGGTCGTGGGGCCTGAACTCTGGGCCTGGGCGCTGACCCTCAGCTCTTCAGCTCAAGGCTAACGCTCTACCACTTGAGCCACAGCGCCACTTCCAGCTTTTTTCTTTTTGCTTATGTGGTGCTGAGGAATCGAAGCCAGGGCCTCATGCATGCAAGGCAAGCGCTCTACCACTGAGCCACCTTCCCAGCCCCTCTTTTCTTTTTTTGTACTGGAGTTTGAGCTCAGTGCCTCAGCCTTCCTAGGCAGGCACTCACTTGAGCCATTCCTCTGCCCCTTTTAACTTTAGCTCATCTCTGGATTTTGGCTTGGGGTTGCCAGTGATTCCTCTACCCACACTCATGAATGGATTACAGGAGTGCCTGTGACACCGTATCTGGCCAGCAGGGAGCATCTTAATCCTGAAGTTTGTAATATCTCCAGAGCCAAGCACAGTACCAGGCATGTAAACACTGGGCAAATGATACTTCTTCCATTGGAATAATTGCTGATCAAGTCCTTATTATGTGGCACTCATTTCCTCTGTACACTTAATTAGCCAGATAGGGGAAGCCCCATTTCCAGGGGAGGAAAAATGAAGCTGGGGAACAGGAGGTGATTGAGTCCTAGCCAGGACTCAACCTCAGACCCCTTATACTTCCTATTCGTTGAAAGTCTATTTATTGAACCTGATTTGTGCCCAGGCCAGGAAGTGCTTCCTTCATGCCCTGTTCCCACAAGAAACATTTTTGAAGAAGGCATTTATGTTGGCTGCTTGCTCCTTCCTGCCCTTTGTGAATACACACACACACACCCCAAGCACTGGTAGCTCACGCCTGTAAGCCTCGCTACTCAGGAGATTGAAGCCATCCCAGGCAGGAAAATCTGTGAGACTTTTTTTTTTTTTTGTCATGGAGCTTGAATTTAGGGCCTGGGTACTATCCCTGAGCTATCTTCTGCTCAAGGCTAGTGTACTACCACTTTGAGCCACAGCTCCAATTTTGGTTTTCTGGTGGTTAATTGGAGATAACAGTTTCACGGGTTGGGAGCCGGTGGTTCATGCCTGTAATCCTAGCTACTCAGGAAGCTGAGATCTGAAGATCACAGTTCCCCGGGCAGGAAAGTCCGTGAGACTCTAATCTCCAATAAACCACTAAAAAACCAGATGTGCCACTGTGGCTCAAGCGGTAGAGCACTTGCCTTGAGCTGAAGAGCACAGGAACAGTGCCCTGGCCCTCAGAGTTCAAGCCCCAGGACCGACAAAAAAAAAAGTTTCACTGACTTTCTTGCCTTGGTCTGGCTTTGAACCATGATTCTCAGATCTCAGCCTCTTGAGTAGCTAGAATTACAAGCCTGAACCACTACCTGACTTATCTGTAAAAGCCTGAAAGGAAGCTGTAGATCAAGTGTTAGAGTGCTAGCCTTGAGCAAAAAAGCTCAGTGATAATACCTGGGCCCCGAGTTCAAGCCTCAGGATTGGAAACACACACGGGGGGAAAAAAATCAGTTCTCTGGTCAACAGCAGCCTGATGCCACTGAGAGCCAGCCAAAGACCTCCCAAGGAGCCAACCTGTGCCACCCCTGGGCAGTGTTCTTGGCATCTTCCCTGATGGGGTTTCTGACTTCCCAGACTGGACAGACATCTCAGGGAAAGGAGCCAGTCTGGATTGAAGCTCCGGGCTCTGTGGTGGGTAAGCTTCCTAGGTCAGGGGCCTGAGGGTTGTTCTGCCTCTGTGTCTATCTCTGGTGCCCCCTGCTGGAGAAAACTGGGTGCAGGGGAGACAGGTTTGCTTCCTCCCCGTACCCTTAATCTGGCTCCAGTTATAGGTCTCAAATGGGACATCTGAGGGCTTGAGATGAATTCACACCAGAGCCAGAATCTGGAGGGACGAAGAAGAACCAGTCAGCTATAAAGTTGCAGCTGCGGGACCACGAAGACTGTTTGTAAAGAGCGGCCCACTGCCCTGCACTCCATGGAAGCCAATGAACTGTCCTTACAATTCAGTAGAGGATGCAGAGAAGGTTTGGGAACCTTGCCCACGCCCTCTGTGCCAACACCAGCGCCAGTGCCATTTCTACCCTGCCCCTCCCTCCGTGTCTTCCCTTGGGCCAGAGAGCTCGTACCCAGCAGAGGAGGCAGAAGGAGGGAGCTGATCTCTGCTGACAACTCAGCTGTACCACCTGCCCTGGAGCCTCATCCCCTTCCAGTGATGAGGCAAGTGTAAAAAATGGAGCGTAATGGAGACGTCATAGGATCTCTCCGGCCCCCAACTGGAGCTGCCTGCTTTTCATCCAGCTGCGATTGCCCAGGGGCTGTGAGGGCTGGCGTTTGTCCGGCTCACTGCTCTTAAAGAAGAGGCATACGTCTCCCTGGGGACTTGCGTGTGTGTGTGTGTGTATGTGTGTGTGTGTGTGTGTGTGTATGGTGTTTGTACATGTATGGAACTGCGAGCTGTGAGGCACCCTGGCTTTGGGGGGCCCCCAAACTAGCCAGCTTCCTCTTCTAGATCGGCTGGCCTAATTCCCAGCTACAGATGCCACCCTGGGTCCCCCTCCCCGAAGCAATCTCCCTACAGATTTGGCAGTGGTGAGAGGAGGGGCTGAGGGAAGGGGAGAAAGATGGAGAGAGAGAACGAACTCAGCTCTAATCTGATGTAGATGATCCGGCAGCTTTCCAGCTCAGCTGCCCTCTGCCATCAGCTCTCCAGGCGATTGTGGGTTTTTTTTTCCCCCTCCAGGCCCTGAATTCTCCTTTCTGCCTTTGTCTCCTTAAGAAAGTACCCAGAAAGTTAAACCCAGACACACACACACACACACACACACACACACACCACAAAAAAAAAAGAAAGAAAAAAAGATCCAGACAGCAAGAAGAGGCAGACGAGTAAGAGAGCACGCGCGCTCAAGAAAGGGCTCAGCTCAGTCCTGCAGGAAGAGCGACACAGGCTGGAGGGAGGCTGGGGCTGGCAGTGACCCCCACTGAGTCTCCTAGCCCTACAAGGAGCCTCCTTCATGGACCCGGAGATCCCAAGAGGGGCTGCTTCAGCATAGAATGGGAAACTGTGTCAAGTCGCCACTGAGAAATCTTTCAAGGAAGGTATGTTTCTGGAGTTTTCACTCCCTGAGGCTGGTGGGGGGTGGTCCCTGAAGTGGGACTGGGAATGGATGTCCATCACAAGCCTGCTGAGCTTTATGGGGTTTCTGTCCCTAGCCGCTTCCCCATTCCCACCTCTTGAGACCCTCTTGTCACAGTTTCTTATGTCCCTAGCTTGGAGCCAAAGTTAGGACTAAGAACTGTTTGGTAGGCGGGGGTGGCAGGGTCAGGGGAGGCCATGTTTGGGAATTTGTACAAGGGAGTTCTAAAAGAAACCACAGAGCTTTGGAGCTATGGGTTATCCATGATATTCTTAGGATTTTTGGTGCACAGCCCCTGTTGAACAGATCGGAACACAGTTCCCAGGGTAGGCCCGGGGGCTCATTCATGTCCTCAGAGGGTCCTTTGAGCGCCTCTCTGATGCTTTCTAAGCCTTCACGTTATGGGTTTAGAAATGCCTTCCACTGCAGTAGGCAGGACACAGGACCTCCCTCTTCATACGCCCGATAATCCTTGAATCAGCTCAGAGAATCTCAAGACGGACCAGCCTGGTATAGGACCCATGTTCCCATGTTTCATCCTTTGAGAAATCAGGGTGCCCAACAGAAATGTTGAGAGCTGGGGTATATGTAAGTTACTCACCAATTGTTTAAATGCTAGGATGATGCTCTTCGCAAGAATTCCTTTTGGGAGAGCTGTCTTTCATGCAGGTCTAAGTTGCATCTGCAGGGTTTTGCTTCACATGGGGCTCCATCTGTATTTCTAGCCCTCCGATAGTCAGGCCATAGAAGAGATTCAGATACCATTTAAAGGAATATATTTAAAGGCATCCTAGGCATGGTTTTCTCCAGTTCTTTCAGTTTCTCGATAAGGAGCTCGATGATTTCTCAGAGGAAGGTCATGTGACACAACGAAGCTCTTAGGTTAGCAAATGATGCCTTTTATCACAGCCCACCCTACCTCCTCCGTGAGTTTCACAGCCCCTTGATTTAGGACATTTCTGGCTTTCATGCCTTTCATCTCCCTCATTCGGCTAAGCTGCTCACATCAAATTCCATTTAATCTTTGCTGTTCTTGGATCCCTCTGAGGACTGATGGTTTCTTGTGTGTCTCCCCGGTCTCCTATAATCTGTCATCATCTTAGGAGAGACTTCTGCCTCCAAGGTGGCATCCAGGCTGATTCAGAGAGGCAGGAACTGATCCGGAAGTAGTCTAGAGGACCTCGGGCGCACACCATTGCAAGGAATCTAGTCAAAGCTGGAGGAAGTGCACTTAATAACAAGAATCACCCTTCTGTCTCCTCCCCAGCTTCCCTCACACTTCAGTGCTTAACAGTCAAACCACTCAGGTCTCCTCTTTCCAGCCAAATGACCTTGAACAAATTACTTAACCACTGTGCCTCAGTTCCCTTGCCTTTTGATCTTTTTTTTTTTTCTGTGTGTGTTGCTGGGGTTAAGTGTCCAGTAAATTCTCTGCCATCTTAACATCTTAACCTGCTTGGCATATATGGTACTCAAATGGTATTATTGCCATTGTAGTCATAACTTTTCCACTCTGGGCTTTAAAGAGAAGGAATGGAAGAAAACAGGAGAATGGGGGAGATGATGATGATGAAGATGATGATGATGTATGCTGGGCTCAAACCCAGGGCCACAACACACATTTTTATTTTTTTGTCGGTTGTGAGCCTGAACTCTGGGCTTGGGTGCTGTCCCTGAGCTCTTCAGCTCAAGGCTAGTGCTCTACCACTTAAGCCACAGTGCCACTTTCAGCTTTTTTCTGCTTATGTGGTGCTGAAGAGTCGAACCCAGGGCCCTCATGCTTGAGGGGCAAGTACTCTACCACTGAGCCAACTTCCCAGCCCCCTCACATATACTAAGTACAGACTCTGCCATACCTCCAGCTCGAGATGCTCTGAGACCATGGAGTAAGGCTAATGATCATACAACTCACCTCATTGTCTGTCATGTTTCTTACGGTAGTTGTAAGCATTGCTTTTTCCTGACTGTTTACAACCTGCTACCCTTACTCACCCTTTTCCACTAAGTATTTCTTGGCTAGTTTGCTGAGAAGATTGCTGAACACAAAGATAAGCATCTTTCTGATTCCAAGCAGAGCTGGGATTTAGACCCTGTACCATGGGAAGTTAGAGCTGGTGTTTTATTTCTCTCCAGAAGTCTCCCCCACCCTTTTTCCTGAAGTCAGAAATGTTATTCATAGATTCCTGAATCTGACCTTTAAGGCTTAGTCCTAGATCCCACTCAGTGTGACAAATCTCCCCTCCCATCTATAAAGCACCCATCTTCCAGCCTTTCCTTGACCACCCTCAGGGACAAGACTCTCCACCTGTGTGCTTTTGGCTAATTTGTGTTGGTAGAAAAGTCCTAAGGTCAGGAGATATGCCGATTCCTCCTGTAGCCAGGACAAGTTCTTTGGTGCTTAGATACAGTGTCTGCCTGTGGTTTGGCTTTCTGAATGGTAGCTAGGGAACTGGTAATGGTGATAGGTGAGCCGCTCCAGGCACTGAGCTAGGCAAGGACCAGGCTGTCAGGTGCCATCACAGGCTGGAGAAGAACAGCAGCTTCCCGGGGCAACTTGGTGCCAGGCAATGTTAAACTCAAGAAGTGCAGTGGAAATTCCCCAGTCACACCACTGGTTGGTTCTTCGGGGGAGCGAATTCCTCTTCATCCTTCTCATTTGTTTCCTGATTGGTAGATGTTCCCCTACTTCCTCTGGAGCCAGAAGCGAATGCCTTCTGGTACCCAGAATCTCTTCAGTTGCATCACCACCACCATCACTCTCATCACTATGGCAACTGCATTGATTTGGCTCTTCCCATGTGCCGGGTACTATGCAGAACACTTTATATATGTAGTAGCTCATTGATTTCTCACAAGAATCCTGTATTAGAGAAAAGATTGTTCTTACCACAAAGAGAAGGAAAGTGGAGGCCGGGGAAGGGACCTGCCCAAAGTCACACAGCAAGCAAGTAGCAGAGCCAGAACTTGGCCCTGAGACTGCCCAACGCCAGCATATTAAGCCGCCTCTCAGAGCTGTGCCACCTGCTGCCTCCTCTTTCCTGCCTGGCACTCATTCTGAGCCAAGTACATGAGATTCAGCCAGAAATGAAAAGTCTGGTTTTCTACAGCATCTTGTGAGAATGTATCCCTCACTCCCAAGCTCTTTCTTTGGATCCCCTCCAAGGTGAAAGGACTTTCTTCATCTATGCCACCACCAGCCTGGATCCTCAAGTAGGAGTGAGTACTGCAGAGGCCCTCGGTCTTACCTCCCTGGGGCATCAAGTCCAAATGGATCCTTGGTCTGTCTGACATCCACGGAGTTCCAAAACTTCCTTCTTGCACTCACTGAGCTTGAGCCTTGGTCTGAGTTCCTTCAGCTTGGGTCTGAGTTACTGTGTTTCCTTTAGAAACCAAGACTCGCTCTTCCGTCTCTGGGCCTACAAGAATCTTAGGATGTTGAAAAGGATTAGAAAGGAGTCCTTATCTATAGCCCTTAGCTAAAGAGTATGTGGGGAAGCCTGTGAGAATAGGGTAGGAATGGCTCTGCTTGCTCAGACTGGCAGGACTGGCTGAACCTGGTCTAGGTATGGGCCATCAGTCAGCTGGGTCAATTGTCTGGAAATGGGGTATGATAGTATGAGATGGCAGGGCATACAGACGGCCCTCAGGGGTTCAGCCTCTTCTTGGGAAGGCTCTGCCTCCTCCCACCCCTGCCATGCTGAAAGGAGCCCTCCCTACCCAGTGCAGGACATAGTGCCAACCTCAGCTCTGGAGAGGCTCTGGGCTTGCTGGGGGTGCCGGGGCCAACAGCATGTTATGTCTAGATGCTGCTGTGTCCTAGGGGAGTCTGTGTGCAATGCTGACTTTTTATAGCTACATGGGAACCTGCAGGGAGGAGGATGGGGGAGCCAGGGCCTGGGAGCACAGCTATATTCGGTAAGCAGACAGGGCCTCTGCCTCAACCTCTAGGTCCTGCAGTCTAGCCTGGGCAAGGAGCCAGGGAAGGCAGGAGGGAGGAAAAGGAGAACTGCTGGAAAGCTTGCCACTTTTTTTTTTTCTTTGTCAGTCCTGGGCCTTGAACTGTGGGCCTGGGCGCTGTCCCTCAGCTCTTCAGCTCAAGGCGAGCGCTCTACCACTTGAGCTACAGCTCCACTGCCACTTCTGGTTTTCTGGTAGTCTATTGGAGATAAGAGTTTCACGGACTTTCCTGCCCAGGCTGGCTTTGAATCGAGATCCACAGATCTCAGCCTCCTGAGTAGCTAGGATTACAGGTGTGAGCCACCGGCGCCTGGCTAGCTTGCCACTCTTGAGGTTACCAGAAAGAGTAGAATGGGGCTGGGAATGTGGCTTCATGGTAGAGTATTTGCCTAGCATGCATGAAGCCCTGGATTTGATTCCTTAGTACCACATAAAGAGAAAAAGAAAAGAGTGGAGCTGTGGCTCAAGTGGTAGAGTGCTAACCTTGAGCAAAAGAAGTTCAGGGACAATACATAGGCTCTGAGTTTAAGGCCCAGGACTGGCAAAAAAAAAAAAAAAAGTAGAATGGGAGCACAGACATGCCTTGGTGGGCCCAGCTGGTGCTTTACATCAAGAAATCTGGTGGGCTGGAATGAATAGTCCTGCCCATTTGGAGGTGGCACACATCTATTTTGTCCCTCTCCTCACCCCTGACACCCTACCTGTCTTACTTGTGTCAGCCATGGTACCGCTGTTCCCATCCTCCAGTCTATCAGATGCTGCAGAGCCTGATTGCTCCCCTAGCCTTCCAACGAGCATCCAGCTGGGATCCGGTCAGGGAGACACAACATAGGCCCCTGGGGTTGAGCTGGGACATTGGAAATGTTTTTGGGAAAGGACATCAACCCATGACACTCTGAGGGAACACTTCTCATTGGTGAGGACAGACGCCTCTCCCTTGTTCAGCTTTTCTGTGTGAGCTGCATGCACTTGGGCATGTGATTCTGTATATATGTATATCAGTGTGTATGTGTGTGTGTGTGTGTGTGTGTGAGAATGTGCATGCATGACCAAGTACCCCACCACAAGTATCATACCCAGCTCTCCCTGGAACAACTGTTGGCATCAAGGATCGGAGTCTCCATCTGTTGGACCAATTTGGTGCCTGCCGCTGCGCATCATGGGACTCCTTGAACTCTACCACCTGACTCTTGAGGAGAAGTCCCTACTAGACCAGGAGCCAGGCTGAAGCCAGGCCAGGACCAGAAGGGCTTAGATGGGCAGAGAGGTGACACCTGCCTCTCTTTTGTATTTGCTTGGTACTGGTTGAAGATGCGCCAGGAAGAGAAGAGCAACTATGTGGTGGTGCAGACCAGCGAGGAGGAACTGGAGGCTGGTGGCGAGCTCCATGGACCACTCCTGATGCTGGCTCAGAACTGCGCTGTCATGCACAACCTGCTGGGGCCTGCCTGCATCTTCCTGCGCAAGGGCTTCGAGAACAGGCAGCCTGTACGTAAGTTAAGCCCAGTGGAGCCTGCTGAGCTTGGCTTCACAGGGCGTGAGGAGGTACTGGGAAGAAGATGGGTTCTGTACACAGTACCTCCTGTCCCCCAGTGGAGACACCTCTAATGCTTCTGAGCCCCCTCCCACTCAGGAACTGATTCTCCAAAGTTTCCCACGTCTTGCTACAGAGTGAGCCCACATGTACTCGCCAAAAATAATATAGCAGATAAATTCTTTGGAGCACTGTGCCAATGAGTATATTGGTGCATTGCTCGTTATGAGCCTCAGCAACTCCTAGAGGTGGCTATTTTTTATCACCCCCTTTTACAGATGAGGAAACCAAGTCCCAGAGGAAGCACGGTTGAGGTTGTAGGTAACACTCACAAGAGGGTAGAGATAAGGCCGGGCGCTGGTGGCTCACGCCTGTAATCCTAGCTACTCAGGAGGCTGAGATCTGAGGATTGAGGTTCAAAGCCAGCCCGGGCAGGAGAGACCGTGAGACTCCTATCTCCAATAAACCACCAGAAAACCGGAAGTGGCGCTGTAGCTCAAGTGGTAGAGCACTCGCCTTGAGCTGAAGAGCTGAGGGACAGCACCCAAGTTCAAGCCCCACGACCGACAAAAAAAAAAAAAAGAGGGTAGAGATAATGCTGGGTGCCCGTGGCTTACACCTGTAATCCTAGCCACTTAGAAGGCTGAGATCTGAGGATCGAGGTTCAAAGCCAGCCCAAGCAGGAAAGTCCATGAATTTTTTTTTTGGGGGGGGGGCAGTCTGGGGCCTGAACTCTGAGCCTGGGCACTGTCCCTCAGCCATTCAGCTCAAGGCTAGCGCTCTACCACTTGAGCCACAGTGCCACTTCCGGCTTTTTCTGCTTATGTGGTGCTGATGAATTGAACCCAGGCTCTCATGCATGCAAGGCAAGCGCTCTACCACTAAGCCACCTTCCCAGCCCCGCTGTGTAACTCTTATCTCCAATAAACCACTCAGAAAACTGGAAGTGGAGCTATGGTTCAAGTGGTAGAATGCTCGCCTTGAGCTGAAGAGCTAAAGGACAGCACGCAGGCCGAGTTCAAGCCCCACAACCGACCAAAAAAAAAAAAACCCCAAAAACCAGAGGAGAGAGATAGGATTCAAACTCATGTAGTTTTGTGTGCTCCTAACAACTCTATGTGGCATGGTCTACTAGAACATCCCACCCCCACCCCCAGAACTGGCTTTTGAACTGGCTTTGTACTCACTCAATTTGCTTATTTATGGCAAGTGGTAGGTCTTTACCACTTGGACTATGGTTCCAGTCCAGTGTTTTGATAGTTAATTGGAGATAGGAGTTATATGGACTTTCTTGCTCTGACTGGCTTTGAACCATGCTCTTCAGATCTCAGCCTCCTGAGAAGCTAGGATTATAGGCATGAACCACTGGTACCTGGCTTCAGGAAACTTCTTTTTTACCTTTTTTTTTTGCCAGTTCTGGGACTTGAACTCCATCTGGTCTTTATTGAGCATCCTTGCTCAAGGTTAGTACTCTACCACTTAAGCCACAGCTCTACTTTTGGCTTTTTTGGGCATTCGAGTCTCACATGATTTCCTGCCCAGCCTGACTTTGAATCTTGATCCTCAGACCTCTGCTTCTTGAGTAGCTAGGGTGACAGGCATGAACCACCAGCACCCAGCTTCCAGGAAGGGTGTTTTTTGGTTGCGTTTTGTTTTGTTTTTGTCAGTCCTGGGGCTTGAACTCAGAGCCTGAACTCTGTCCCTGAGCTTTTTTTGCTCAAGACTAGCACTCTACCACTTGAGCCACAGAGCCACTTTGAGCTTTTTCTATGTCAGTGGTACTGAGGAATCGAACCCAGGGCTTCATGCATACTAGGGAAGCTCTCTACCAGTAAGCCACGGTCCCAGCCCCAGAAAAGTTTTTATAATGATTAAATTGTTCTTAAAATCCATGTTGTCTAAATAGTAGCCACTAGGCACATGTGACTATTGCCCACATCCTAAATGTGGCTAGTTCAACTAGTGAGCTGAATTATCCATTCGATTTCATTCTAATGCAAGAAATATTTTATTTATTTATTTTTTGCTGGTTGTGGGGCCTGAACTCTGGGCCTGGGCGCTGTCCCTCAGCTCTTCAGCTCAAGGCTAGTGCTGTACCACTTGAGCCACAGCGCCACTTCTGGCTTTTTCTGCTTATGTGGAACTGAGGAATCAAACCCAGGGCCTCATGCATGCAAGGCAAGTGCTCTACCACTGAGCAACCTTCCCAGCCCATATTTTATTTTTTGTGTGCATCAAACCCAGGGCCTTCGGCATTCTAAGGACAAACTATTACTGGATTATACCCCCTAGTCTTCCAACATAATTTTAAAAAAGCCACGTGGGGCCAGTGGCTACTGTATTGGACCGCTTCCTTCAGGTGACTGAGTAGTCGCAGGAAGAGGGTGATGGTGTCATTTTACAGATACAAACATTTGTAGGTTGCATTTATTGACTTGCACATGCTCAGTACAAGTCTTGTCTTATATGTTTACAAAGGCCCTTTAAAAAAGGTACTGGTTTTAACCTATACTATAGATAAGGAGACCAGGGCTCTGAGGAGAGAAATGACCTGCCCAAGATGCCACAGTTAGGAAGTCTTTGGGACTGTCTACTTCTAAGGCCCAAGGTCTTGTCCTTTCCTTTGAGGGAAAATGACTGTGTAGCTACTTCCTCCCACCTGACCCCCCAAGTTGTTGCACACCACTTCCCTGCCATACCAGTGTGTGTCCTGAGCTCTAGTCCAGATCACATTACCCAGACCCCTCTTTGTATGGAGCAAAGGACACAACAATGTGTGAACCAAAGATACCCAGGTTCTGGACACAAGCATACTGTGAACAGGTGCCTGGCTTTGCTGTTCCAAGAGTTCTGGGAATACAAGAGGATTAAAAGAGGAAGGTAGGCACTGATGGCTCATGCCTGTAATCCTAGCTACTCAGGAGGTTGAGATCTGAGGATCATGATTCAAAGCCAGGCCAAGAAGAAAAATCCATAAGACTCTTATTTCTAATTAACTCACCAAATGGCCAGAAGTGGAGCTGTGGCTCAAGTAGTAGAACACTATAGCAGTGAGTGGAAAAAAAAAAAAAGGCTCAGAGACAATACCTAGGTTCTGAGTTAAAGCCCTAGGACCAGCATGCATGTGCGTGCACACACACACACACACACACATACACACACAAGGGGAGCTGGGTGCCAGTGGCTAAAGCCTGTTATCCTAGCTACTCATGAAGCTGAGATCTGAGGATTGTGGTTTGAAGCCAACTTGGGCCGGAAAATCCCTATGAGACTCTTATCTCCAATTAACTACTCAAAAACTGGAAGTGGGGCTGGGAAGGTGGCTCAGTGGTAGAGCGCTTGCCTTCATGAGGCCCTGGGTTCTATTCCTCAGCACCACATAAGCAGAAAAAGCTAGAAGTGATGCTGTGGCTCAAGTGGTAGAGTACTAGCCTTGAGCTGAAGAGCTGAGGGACTGCACCTAGGCCCAGAGTTCAGGTCCTATGACCAGAAAAAAAAAACAACACGGAAGTGGCACTGTGGCTTAAGCGGTAGAGCACTAGCCTTGAGCACAAGAGGCTCAGGGACCCACAACCAACAGCAACAAAAGAAAGAGCCAAGGGGGATTGTTAGGCCCTGAATTCACCCCCAGTACCAACACCAAAAATAACTAAATAAGTTATTAATTTTTTAAAAAGTCTTGGAACATGTGAGCCTGTCTGGGGACAGGAGGACAGGAGTGGCATACCTTAGTGCCACTGCTTGAGCAACCTTTGAAACGAAGGCCTCCTGTCGTAGCCAGAAAAGAATCCCTGAAGGCTGGTCTTCCTCCCCTCAGCTGTAAATACAGCCTGGGACCTGGGGAGCTTGCAGCCTGCTTGCTCACATCCCCTTTCAACATCAGCACCCCTTCCCTTCCTACTCCATTCTTGGACTTCCCAGTGCTGGTGCTCCTCTTCTGGGGCCAGTGTAGAGTGGGTGGACAGTTAGTCTGCACTCACTCACCCTGGCCACATTGGCTGGAACAGCTTGTGTGCACAACAGAGCCACTTTGCAAGCTCATTGGGCTGTGCCTGCAGCGATGTGTTCAAACATCCGGGTGCCCACACCTGCCTTGTCTTCTCTCTGCCCCAAGGCAGAGAGCTAGAACACTGTGAGGCAGTTTGGAAACTTAATCATGTCCATCTGGTCACCCATATTCATTCCGTGCCAGTCTGGCTTCCTCTTGGGCAGCCCTGGGGCCATGGTAATCTCTATCTGGAGCCTGCCCCGTCCTTCCTCTGGGCCTGCTCTTTGGAGATTTCACCACCATCTGTTTTGACACCTGGACTCAGGGTTTCCTTGGGCCCTACTGAAAGCTGATGTGCTTTGGACCCTGGCAGCTGCCAGAGGCACTAGTGGCCTCCAGGGTCCTATGCCATGTCCTGTGACAGGGCAAGGTGTGAAGATGGGGCCAAGTTGGGGAAGGTGGGGTGCTGCCCAGGAAGCAGGGTGCACCCCCCCACTTCTCCCTCTGGGGCTGCCTATGTGGTCCCTGCCTCCCCTCCCCCTGCAAGCCCGTCTCCTCCCATTATCTTGCAGGCTTCTGCGGCCTGGCTCCTCCTGCATTCTCTTCTCTCTGTGGTGACCTCTTCCAGTCCTGTTTGCTTTACAGATTTTGCTTCTGGACCAGCTCTGCCTGACCCGACCCATTCTTGTGTCTGAAATAAGGGTGTGGCTTGGGGAGTGGCTGGGTCCTTGGGATTCAAAACAAGCAGAGGAGTGTCTCTGTGGCCTAAGGAGCCACACCATCTCCCTTCAAGGACACAATCCAGACAAACCTCCGCTCCATTCCCATCCCCTTCCATCCAGTGTCCCCGTTGACAGAATTTTGTGACTTCCAGTTCCCCCACTGCTGTGGCTAATAGGACATGTTCTTTTGTTTCAGGACAGATCACTTCGGCCAGAGGAGATCGAAGGTAAAATTTGGCCCTTGGGAAAGGGAGGTGTGGGAGGGAAACTGTGAGAAGAGAGGCAGAGACACTTGGGGCTCTACAGGGAGCAGGGTCCCTGCACTGGTACCAGCCATCAAAGGAGTGAGCCTGAGGTGAATGAGGGGCCCTGGAGTCCTGGGATCTCCTGGGACCATCTCTCCAAACTGGCTGGCCCTGGGCTGCCTTTGCTCCCAGATGCTCTGCTGGTCCTGCTTCCAATTACATCTGCTTGTATTTGCTTCCCCAGAGCTCCGAGAGGCCTTCCGAGAATTTGACAAGGACAAAGATGGTTATATCAACTGCCGGGACCTGGGGAACTGCATGCGTACTATGGGCTACATGCCCACTGAGATGGAACTCATCGAGCTGTCTCAGCAGATCAACATGAACCGTGAGTCCCTCTGCAGACACCTCCTTCCTTCCTTGTTAGACAGGCCTGGGGGACAATGTTGCTTGCTCTCCCCCCCAAAAAAAAAAATACTTCTAGCTCTGTGCTCTCAATTTCCTCACCTGTGAAAGGGGAATGGCGCACAAGAGTTAATTAAGAGATAGTTTTTTTTTTTTTTTAACAGTCCCACAGCCAGCTGGCTCACAGTAAGAAATGATCTGAAGGAGCTGGGCACTGGTGGTTCATGCCTGTAATCCTAGCTACTCAGGAGGCTAAGATCTGAGGATCACAGTTCATCACCAGCCTGGGCAGGAAAATCTGTGAGGCTCTTTATCTCCAATTAACCACCAGAAAACTGGAAGTGGAGCTATGGCTCAAAGTGAAGAGCACTAGCCTTTAGCAAAAGAACTCAGGACAGTACCCAGGCCCTGATTTCAAAGAAAGAAAAAAAATGATCAAAAGGATGTTCTATGGGTTTTGTTGTTTTGTTTCATTGTTTTTTTTCCTTTGCATGTATGTGTGTGCCAGGGTTTAAATTCAGGGTCTTACGCACTTGGCTTGCTTGCTTGGCTGACATTATCACTTCAGCCACGCTTCCAGCCTGGCTTTTTGCTGGTTATTTTGGCAGTGGAGTCTTATGAACTTTGCTGCCTGGGCTGGCTTCGATCCTTCTGAATCTCAACCTCTTGAATATCTAGAATTACAGGCATGAGCCATCATTGTCTAGCTTTTTTTTTTCTTGGCAGTACTGTTGTTTTCTATTTTAGTCTATATTTTCTTGAGACAGGGATCTATATACAGGTATTAGTTTTGTGGGGAGACAAAAGAGAGCATTGGAATGGAGTAGGAAGTGAGAGAAGGAAGGAAAAGAGCAGACCTAGGGCGAACTCCCCAACCAGCTACCTGTGAGTGTGCTGGGAGCTCTGGGAGGTGATATGGGACCCTTTTACCCACCTATTCTGTCAGCAGGGGGTTATTCCCTGCTACTGGCTGAGCAGTCCCCGGATGAGAACCGTTATAAGTAGGAAGGTGGGTGCTAACCCTCTGGCTCTCCCACCAACTGAGAGCCACTTGGAAGTTGGGTTGGTGTTTTCACAGCAAGGGTAAAGCTTGGGACATGGCCTGTGACAGCCAGGCACCCAATGCTTCAATATCTCTCTTCTGCCCTTCTCTGAGTGCATCTGGGTCTCTCCATCTGAACTTGTTTTATTTTTTAAAATTTATTTTGGAGCGTGAACTCAGGGCCTGGGTATTGTCCCTTAGTTTACCTTTTTTTTTTTTGCTTTGTTTTTTGCTTATGACTGGCATTCTACTACTTGAGCCACACCACCACTTCTGGCTTTTTGATGGTTAATCAGAGTTAAGAGTCTTATAAGCCAGGTGCTGGTGGCTCACACCTGTAATCCTAGCTACTCAGGAGGCTGGAATCTGAGGATTGCAGTTCAAAGCCAGCCCAGGCAGGAAAGTCCGTGAGACGCTTATCTCCAGTTAACCACCAGAAAACCAGAAGTGATGCTGAGGCTCAAGTGATAGAGTGCTCACCTTGAGCTGAAGAGCTGAGGGACAGCGCCCAGGCCCAGAGTTTAAGCCTCACCCGACCCTCCCCCCCCCAAAAAAAAATACCTTTGACCTAGATAAAGGAGATAAAGAAGGGATTGGCAGCCCTCAACTAACAAATGCCTAGCTGGAAGTGGAGATCGGATGGGTTGTGAGTGACCTTGCCCTTCTTCTTGCTTCAGTGGGAGGCCATGTAGACTTCGATGACTTTGTGGAGCTTATGGGACCTAAACTCCTGGCAGAGACAGCAGATATGATTGGCGTAAAGGAACTGCGGGATGCCTTTCGAGAGGTGAGTAATAGGTAAGCACAGGTAGATGGAGCAGGCTGTTAGGGTTCCAGTCTCCAGATAGCTGCTTGAAAAGAAGCCCCAGCCCCGGGTCCCAGACCAGGGAGAGAATTTTAACCCAGAGGGGACCTGAGGGAAGGGAGACTTTTGAAGTAAAGCTCAGCCTTGGATCTACTGCTGACAGTCTCCATGAGATAGCTACCTTGCTCTCCTTCCTGCTCGCTCTAGTTTGACACCAATGGTGATGGGGAGATCAGCACCAGTGAATTGCGAGAGGCTATGAGGAAGCTTCTGGGTCATCAAGTGGGACACCGAGACATAGAAGAAATTATCCGAGATGTAGATCTCAACGGGGATGGACGAGTGGACTTTGAAGGTAGGTGGAGTTTGAAAGTGAGAGAGTGGCAAGCCAGCAGTGGCCATCTATGGAGCCCTCCAATGGTGTATCCACCACATGATTAATTCAACCCAATTTTGTATCCCTTGCCTTCCTTCCTCTTACCCCTCTACTGAATTCCTTGCCAATCTGTCCATCCTTCTATGCACCCATCCACTCATTCATCCAGCCATCCAGCCATCATCCTTCCATCCATCCACCTTTCTACTACTCTGATTTTTTTTTTGCCAGTCCTGGGGCTTGAACTCAGGTCCTGAGCACTGTCCCTGAGCTTCTTTTGTTCAAGGTGTGCCTGGTGGCTCACACCTGTAATCCCAGCTACTCAAGAGACTGAGATTTGGGGCTGGGAAGGTGGCTCAGTGGTAGAGCGCTTGCCTTGCATGCATGAGGCCCTGGGTTCGATTCCTCAGCACCGCATAAGCAAAAAAGAAAAAAGCCAGAAGTGGCACTGTGGCTCAAGTGGTAGAGCACTAGCCTTGAGCTGAAAAGCTGAGGGACAGCGCCTAGGCCCAGAGTTCAGGCCCCATGACCGGACCCCCCAAAAAAAGAGGCTGAGATTTGAGTATCACAGTTTGAAACCTGCCTGGGCAGAGAAGTCCATAAGACTCTTATCTCCAATTAGCTAGTTAAAACCAAAAGTGGAACTGTGGATCAAGTGGTAGAGCACTAGTCTTGAACAAAAAGTTTAGGAACACACACAGGTCCTGAGTTCAAGTTTTAAGTACTGGTACCAAAAAAAAGTCGTACATCGAGACAACATAATATTATTCAGTACTAAAAAAAGGAATGAGCTTGGCTGGGCGTCGGTGCCTATAATCCTAGCTACTTAGGAGGCTGAGAGCTGAGGATCTCAGTTCACAGCCAGCTTAGGCAGCAAAGTCCATGAGACTCTTATCTCTAATTAACTGTTCAAAAAGCTGGAAATGGAGTTGTAGCTCAAAGTAGTAGAGCACTAGCCTTGAACACAAAAGCTTAGGGATGGTGCCCAAGCCCAGACAGAGTTCAAGCCCCAGGACTGGCAAAATAAAAAGGAATGAGCTATCGAGCCATGAAAAGACATGGAGGGACTATAAATGCATCTCACTGAGAAGCCAAGCTGAAAGGCTATACAGTATAAGGTTCCAATTATATGACATTCTGGAAAAGACAAAAATGATAGACAAGCCAAGCACCAGTGGCTCACTCCTGTAATCCTAGCTACTCAGGAGGCTGAGATCCAAGGATGGTGTTCGAAGCCAGCCTACGCAGGAAAGTTCATGAGACTCTTATCTCCAATTAACTATCAGAAAACTAGAAGTGGTGCTGTGGCTCAAGTGGTAGAGTACTCACCTTGAGCTAAAGAGCTGAGGGACAGTGCCCAGGCCCAGAGTTCAAGCCAGAAACAACAACAAAAAAAGATAACAAAAAAATCAGAGTTTGCCAAGACACAGGAGATTTGGGCAATGACACTACTCTAATAGAGCTATATCATCATATAGATGTTTGTCCAAATTCATAGAATGCAGCACCAAAAGTGAACTCTTAAACTGGGTGTGTGGGTACCTGCCTAGAATTGCAGCTACTTGAGACTGAGGAAAGAGGATTGTAAATTCAGAGGCAGCCTGCACAACTTATAAAAGGATCTCAGTAGTAGAGTGCTTGCCTAGTATGCACAGACCTGTGTTCATCAAATCAAATGTGCCACTCTGTGTGGGATCTTTCTGGTGGGGAACCTGTGCATGTGTAAGTGTGGGTGCAGAAAATCTCATATTTTTCAGTCAGTTTTGCTGTGAAACAAAAATTGTTCTTAAAAAGGGACACTGGGAGCTGGTGGTTCACTCCTGTAATCCTAGCTACTCAGGAGGCTGAGATCTGAGGATCATGGTTCAAAGGTAGCCCGTGCAGGAAAATCAGTGAGAGTATTTGTTGTTGTTGTTGGTCGTGGGGCTTAAACTCTACCTGAGCGCTGCTGCCCCTGAGCTCTTCAGCTCAAGGTGAACACTCTACCACTTAAGCCAAAATGCCACTTCTGGTTTTCTGGTGGTTAATTGGAGATGAGTCTTTCAGACTTTACTGTCCAGGCTGGCTTTGAACCACAATTCTCAGATATCAGCCTCCTGAGTAGCTAGGATAACAGGCATAAGCCACTGGTGCCCGGCTTGTGAGACGCTCATCTCCAATTAACCACCAGAAAACTGGAAGTGGCGCTATGGCTGAAAGTGGTAGAGCACTAGGCTTGAGTAAAAAGAGCTCACGGACAGTTCCCAGGCCCTGAGTTCAAGCCCCACAACTGTCAAAAATAAATAAATAAAGTCTTGATGGTCTGAGAGCTGGGCCTCTCAGAAGGCTGAGATCTGAGGAACTGGGTTCAAAGTCATTCTGAGTAGACAAATCTAAGAGATTCCAGTTCACCAGTGAGAATCTGGAAGTGGAGGTGTGGCTCAAGTGTAGAAAAGCCAAGAAGAGTATGAGGTTCTGAGTTCAAGTCCTAGAACCACTCCCCACCCCCCCCAAAAAAAAAGAAAAAGAAAAAAAATAAGCGTTTTGGGAAAGGAGACCTGTTATAGGAAAACTGAGAGGAGACAGAAGATGGGAGGGAGGGAGAGCAGCATGCAAACCATCTTGCGAGTTGAAAATGAGGTGTGAGTAAGCTGGAACAGATGGGGGTGTAGTACAGAAGGGGCGAGTGGGAAATGTCAGGACACTGGACAGCGCCCGTGGGAGCCTTGGGATGTTTGAGTAGAGGTCAGATTGCAGATTAGAAAGAAGCCCTGGCCGCTGGATGGAAGAAGGGTTGGAGGGGCAGAATGGACCTGAGGGACTGGACCCCATTCAGTTGGGAGTTAATGGCGGTAGGGAAGGCGGCTTCACCCTGACTGCTGCCACCTCCTGTCCACCCCTGTCCCCTCCCAGAGTTTGTCCGGATGATGTCCCGCTGAGGCCTTGAGGGCCCCTCCAGGACTGCCAAGCCCCCACAGGTGGGGCGAAGAGGAGCAGGAACTCGCCTCGCCCCGCTGTAGCCGCCGAGAGCCCAGGATGTACTGGCGGAAGGGGCCTGCCTGCACCCCGGGGAGGTACCCGCCCCGGACCCCCACCCCTCCGCACTGTGAAAGACTCACAACTCCTGCAACTGGAAAGGGGGCGCCCGCCGCCGAGGAGGCCACCGTGCCAAGCCGGCAGAGGTCACGCCAGGCGCCAAGTGCCATGTGCCCAGCCCACTGCTGGCTGGGTGGGCGGGGGAGCCTGCCAGCAGACCCCACACAGCATGTCTGCCCCAGGGGCAGAGCCTCTCGCTGCCCTCCTTAGCTCTATGCCTGTCCCAGCTCGCCTCAGCCCTGTGATCTCAGAACCAATAAACATGTTTCCAAGAGAATGACAACCAGGGATGGTCTTTGCTTCTCTGTCTCTGTCTCTCTCTCTCTCTGCGGGCTGGGGAGGGGGGGATATGTGTCTGTGCCTGGGCATGGTCCTAGGGGGTAGAACTCAGGGCCTTGATCTCTTACTTCTTTTTTTTTCACTGGAGCCTGGCATTCTCCCACTTGAGCTGCAGGGCCACTTCCAGCTTTTTGGTGCCTAATTGGAAATAAGAGTCTCACCAACTTTTCTGCCCGGGTTGGTTTCAAACCACAGTCCTCAGATCTCAGCTTCCTGAGTAGCTAGGGTTACAGGTATAAGCCACTGCTTTGCTTCTTGAGCCTGGTTAGATGATGCACTGGATATAATACCTGCACTCCCAGAACTGGCTGGTCTTCCCTGCACCCTGCATGCAGTTACTGAGTGTCCTGCTCAGTAACATAACCTGGCAACTTCCAAGACCTGGTGCTCTTCTCTAAGAGGGGGATGTGGAGAGGTGATTGTGTAGTTAGGGAGGAGTGCTGGGGAAGCGTCTCACAGGGCTGGACCATTTCCTGACTCGCTCCTACTCCATACTGGTTAGGGAGACAGACATGACGTAAACACATCTGGTGTGACCTTCAAGCAGGGTAGAATTAGGAGGCCAGATTGCTCTAGGGAGAACTTTCCTGAGGAAGTGACATCAAGGACTTTTCCCTGGAGGAAGTCCTAACTGTTTGAAGAGACAGGTGTCAAAACAGCTGCTATGTCTCCTGGGGTGGGAAGCAGATATATAGTGCTCAGGCCTTGAGTTTGCTTGCGGTGTGACTTTGGGCCAGTTGTGTGCCTTCTCTGAACCTTAAGTGTCACGTGGCAGAGTTGATAAAAGGATTAATACAGAATAAACACAAGGCATTGAATTGTATGCTCCTGGGGCTGCCAGATGTGGGCAACTTTGGGATTATGCAATGGGGTCATATAGAATAGAGCCACTGTAGGCATTGCAATTAACTTCTGCAAATGAAGAGCTGAAGGAGCCCAGGAGAATTGTGGGTAGGCTCGGGACATACTTGGATATGCAAGGTAGCCAGTATATGCCAACTTACTGGTTCTTTACCATGAATAAGAATCACCTGGGGCCGGGCGCTGGTGGCTCACGCCTGTAATCCTAGCTACTCAGGAGGCTGAGATCTGAGGATCGCGGTTCAAAGCCAGCCAGAGCCGGAAGTGGAGTTGTGGCTCAAGTGGTAGAATGTTAGCTAGCCCTGAGCAGAAGTGCTCTGGGACACTGCCTAGGTCCTGAGCTCAAGTATCAGGACCACCACCACCACACACACACACACACACAGAATTATTGCTTAGCACATAAGTAGAGCTATGAAAATTCAAGTCAAGTTTGAATTTTAAACTGCCTGTGGTGGTGTTTTTTGTTTTGTTTTTCCTAATTAATTGGAGATAAGATGGGCTGGGAAGGTGGCTCAGTGGTAGAGTGCTTGCCTTGCATGCATGAGGCCCTGGGTTCGATTCCTCAGCACCACATAAGCAGAAAAAGCTGGAAGTGGCGCTGTGGCTCCAGTGGTAGAATGCTAGCCTTGAGCTGAAGAGCTGAGGGACAGCACCCAGGCCCAGAGTTCAGGCCCCATGACTGGCAAAAAAAGAGTGTAAGACTTGAATTCAAACCCCAGTACTGGCACAAAAAAAAAAACCCTCCCAGCTGATGTCCTGAGAATACTTTCAACATGAAGAGTTTTACTGCCTGGGTGGAAGATGAACGTGCCTTGTTCACAGGGGAGAAAACCCAGGCCATGCAGGAGGAAAATGATTTTCCCAAGAGCACCTGGCTGGGAAAGGGCTTGTGTTTTCTGCCAGTGTCCTTAGCCATGCTATACATGGCTGCCTTCTTCTCTGTGACTCACATCCTCCTGGGGGAAACAAACATATGCCAAGTCCATTCTCTTTCCCCTGAAGTTGGAAACCTGGCTAGATTACCGAGTTCAAGTTGCCCAAGGGGGGCCAAGGTTAGAGATACCTCAGGCAGGCTCCCTGCTTCTGGGGATGGCTCTGATTCCCCCATGGTCTGACTCCCAGAGGCTCAAGGTGAGGACAATTGGCTCTGGGACTGGACCACCTACCTCAGCATCCCAGGAATACACACCAGCCAAGTAGAAGGCTAGGCTGGTCCCCACCCACTTCTCCGTGTTTACCTTTTGAACTTTTATTGTGAACTGATCCTGGCGGGGGGAGGGATATCCCATTAACTTAAAATAGGCAAGATTTAATAGCATGCTTTGTTCTTCAGATCTTTATCTGTAACAGGAAGACACACTTCTTTTCCAGTGTTGTGGGTCAAGGTGAAATTGCCTCCAGGGGCTCATAAACAGCTGTTCCATCTTCTACTTTTGAACTCTGGTTCCTTTGGGGGGCATTGCCCTCCCCCTGAGTTCCAGGGTTTTTCCCAACTCCTTAGCCTGAGTTCTTCATGGTGGAATTTTCTACTATCAGACTGCCAGGTATAATTATCCCTCCTTATGGCTTGAATAGCTACTGTGCTTGAAAAGCTTTTCCAGACACTCAGTGAAGGGCTCCCATAACCCTTCATATTGGGTCTTTTTGTTATATCCAGTAACAGATGAAGAAGCCGAGGCCAGAGAGGAGAGATGACTTTCTAAATGGCTCTAAGAAGTAGAGCTAGGCTATGAGTCTGTTTCTTCACCTCCCCAAACCCCTGTGACTCTTTCCCTAACCTCCATCTCAGTCCTGAGCAGGATTAGCTCCTCAGCTGCTAGAAATTTGACTTTCCTGGCTAGTCCTGGAGTTTCCCTCTAAACCAGGCTCTCTCAGATGAGCCTATGTTGGTTTGTTGGTTTTATAGTACCGGGGTTTGAACTCAGGGCTCTCATACTTGAGCCACGTCTCCAACCAGACTGTTCTGTAGGAATAAATTTCTGCTCTTAGGAGCAGTGCTTGGCATTTGAAAACAGCTGGCTCCTGTCTTCAAGCAATTCAATTTTCCTCAGGTAACTAGGATAGTAAATTATGAGGTTACGTATGCTGTGAGAAGCTCATGAAGAAAGCAAAGGGAAAGAAAGGGCTTGGTCAGGAAATCCCTTGTTAAATATACTACAAATTTCACTAGCCCCTGCAGCAGTTGCGTATAGTCTCAGACCCACAAAGGACATAGAGTCCTTTAGCCAAAAGGGGTGTGCAGTTTGGTGCTGGTGCCTCACACCTATAATTCTAGCTACTCGGAAATCTGAGATCTGAAGATCATGGTTTAAGGCCATCCCTGGCAGGAAATTCCGTGAGACTCATCTCCAATAAACTACTCACAAAAGGCCAGAGTGCTAGTCTTGAGCAAAAGAAATTCAGGGACAGTGCCCAGGCCCAGAGTTCAAGCCCTAGGTCCAGCAAAAAAAAAAAAAAAAAAAATGCCAGCCTTGAGTCAAAAAGCTAAGGGACAAAGCTGAGCACTGGTGGCTCACGCCTGTAATCCTAGCTACTCAGGAGGCTGAGATCTGA